ACTTTTTTTTTTTTTTTTTTTTTTTTTTTTTTTTTTTTTTTTTTTTTTTTTTTTTAAAGATGTAAATTTGTGGGTTTTTAGGTTTAGGTTTTTGCCGTTTCCTGATTTTAAGCCTGTTTGTTTGCTCGTTTTTTTTTTTTGCCTGAGCGGAGGTGGTGGTGGGCCCCACATAAGCCGAGGAAGAAGCTTGGTTTACGCGGGCGGTGCCATCTCTCTTGCGACAGTACGGGTGGGGTGGGGTTGATTTGTTGCCGTTGATTCTTGGAATTTCTGACAATGGCGTCGCGAGGTTCCTCCTCTTCCACCAATGGCTTGTTGACGTCCTCTGCCGCTGCCGCCCCGCGCAATGCTTACCAGACAGACGTGGAGGCCGGCAAGGACGGCGGTCAGCAAGACGGGCACTTTGACGAGACCGCCGACGATGCCTCGTCTGCTGATCCCTTCGACATTGCCAACACCAAGAATGTGCCTCTGGAGACGCTCAAACGATGGAGGGTAAGTGTTGTCCCAACTGTCTTTTGTGTTCTTAGAATGTTGCTCCTGGTAACTAATTGGCTGAAAGTGTAGTATAGATTTAGAAATGGCTTAAATTTGATGGGGTGAATTGGCACTGTGTTTCCAATAGAGATTATAAATGGCTTAATTTGATGGGCATGAATTGGCATTGTGTAACTTATATTGCTTTTGGGATTATTGTTGGTGTCTGGATTGTGATATATGATTTTTGATAGACTTTGAGACAACTTGTGTTGATATGAATTTGCGACCTAGTGGGGGAAAAGGCGAAAGGCTAGGGAAGAATCATACATGTTTTTGATAAGTATGCTTTCTGCATTGTCGCTGGTAAAGCCGCATTTTATGTAGAATTCGTTCCTTGTAAACGGTGGGCTGAAATTGGATTGTAGATTTCAAATGGAGTCAAATTTGATGGGGTTGAAATTGCAGTGTGGTTTTGATATTCGTTCAATGATAGAATTTCCTACCTGTATTATGACATGATTTCGATTGATTTGTAGAAAAATTACGCTTTGCACTGATATAATGGAGGTGAAAGGTGACGCTCTTGGAAGATTATTTGTATTAGATATGAATGGTGCTGCTAAAAAAAAATTATTTTTATGGCAATGATAATTGGGTTTGTTGCAGGCATGCACCACATCTAGAATTGAGATATAGAACTTGTCTCTCTTCTTCTTGCTTTTTGTTGGTGTTTCTTTATCGAAATGTTGCACAGATAGTTTATCTTTTATAAGGATTGCATAGCAGCAAGATGATTTTAAGGTTGTTTGGCATTATGCTCAACGAACGATCTGTGCAACTAAGAAATGCAAGAAGTCCCACCTCAAAATAATTATCAGAAAAATGCTTGAAGTTAAATGATTGTTGTGGAAATATGATGTTGACCCTTTGAAATGGTAACTGTTTGAATCATACAGTAAGAGTAGACGCATATTTTATCAAAATTTCTTATTTGGGCAAATTCTTCCACACACTTTAATTTGGATGTGTTCTAGAGGGGATGTGTTCTAGAGGGAGGATTTTTCTAGAACCTGAATTAAGATCCATGCTCCCAACAAAATCATTTAACTTATTCACCTAATTGCTCATTCAACTATATTTCTGCATCAAATTATGTCATTTATCAAATATCATTCAGCATGATAGTTTTGTGTTTAAATCTAGTTTAGTTGAGATGAGAAAATTTGTTTCTCTCTTCAGATTTAAGTTGAAATAGGTCTGTTCCTTTGCAGCAAGCAGCACTAGTGTTAAATGCTTCCCGCCGTTTTCGGTACACTTTGGACTTGAAAAAGGCAGAAGAGAAAGAGCAAAGGAGGAGGATGATTAGATCACATGCACAAGTCATAAGAGTAATGTTTCTATACAAACTTGTAAACTTAGGCCTCGTTCACTTCGCGGATCCGAGTTTTCAATTCGAGCTGAGATGTGACATTTTCTGAGAGTTTTTCACTGTAGCAGAAAAAGTTAGATGTGACATTTTCGGAGAGCTTTTTACTGTAGAAACTTAAAACTGAAAACTCGAATCGGTGAAATGAACGAGGCTTTAGTCTTTTAGACAATTGTATTTGTTATAATTGAATATTGTTTGTTATCTTAGGCAGCATTGCTTTTCAGAATGGCTGGGGAACGGCAAATTGGTATGCCCTTCTATCACTTCTTTATCTATCTTCTTGTTTGCTTTCTATCTGATCTTGGTTAACTGCTATATTTTATTTTTCTTTTTTATGTTAAGATGTGACCAAATTTGGGATAGTGTTTCTTTTATTGTTCACGTATGTCTATATGGCATTCTTAACGCAAATGGTTTTAATAGAAAAACTAAAAAATGTTGCACCTTTGTGGTTGTTGTTCAGTTATCATTAGCCATGCTATACTAGAATGCAGTGCTTTAGAAGCATTATGTATAAGCAATGTGTGCGTCCTATCTAAGAAAATTTACTCTGTCCAGTGTGTAAAAGATTCAAATGTTGAATCAACATGCAATTTAGGGTAAATTGTCCCCGAAAAAAAGGGCACCTTGCCTATACTTTGTAGTTCTCTGTAGTGTCAACTATCCTTTAACTTCATTTGATGGAATGGAATTTGCATGTAGGGTGCCGTGTGGACTTCATGAATATAGGAAAATATTGAAGTTTATAAAAGCTCCTTTTAACACTTGAATTTATATTTTGCTACCTTTCCCTAATCTTACTCTAAAAGCACCCTAAAAACTCCATTGTTGGATTAAGAAGATTTCAACTTCGTTAAAAACCTTTTTTCTTATAAAAAATGTTATCTGCAACTCAAAAAAAAAAAAAAAAAAAAGAGCCTCCATTTCGGTGGTTGTGTTTTCTCTTACTAGAGTTTACAAGGGAAAATTATGATGGAATAGTGACCGCTGGATTGCATTGCTGGTGCTATGATTGGGCATTGAATAGTTTGTAGGAAATGAATTAGGAAAATTTTCTTCAGGGAATAAAGTTTGTTTCTTATCACACCATCTAATAGTCAAGTAATCACTAGGAAGGGAATCCATTATCCTTATTCTTACCTTTCCTTTCCAATCCCCTTTCCTTTTCCATTACATTCTTTTATGTGGTAAACGCTTCCTTAAAGTAATGGAAGAGCTATTTTAATGTAAGAGATAACCCATGTGCGTACAAAATCAAATTAGGAGAACCTAATTTCAATGCCTTAAGAAAACACTTTTCATTCACCTGAACTTGTATTCTTGATTCTGACTAGTGTTTTGCCATTAACTAATTTCCTGCTTTATCCTTACTACTAACCCACCAAGGAGATGCATGTGTGCCAATGTATTAAAAAAATTCCATGCAGCATGTAATATTGAAAATTCCATCGTAAAAGTTATTGGAAGTTAAGAGCTGGTTGATAATGCAAAAGGCTAAAAAGTATTAGTGCCTGTATTTTTAGACGGGGGCACGCCAAAGAACCATGAGTGAGGATGGTAAAGTGCAATTCACCCAAAAATATAGAATGTATTCCACCACACTTTTTGTCTTAGATCATAAATGCCTCCTAAGTAGCCTAATATATCTGGAATAGATTCTTTATCTTCAGTTTGCCTTTGGATACACGAAGATTCTGCACCATATTTCTGCCAAATTGATTTTACAGTATATCATGTTTTGTTTAATGATAACATGGGCCTGTATATTTCACTGTTGCAATTCAAGCTGCTTATTCTCATTTTAATTTTGCTTCTACAGTATTGGGCCCAACTGTCGCTCCTCCATCTCCAAATGGTGATTATGCCATTGGGCTAGAACAGCTTGCTTCAATGACCAGGGATCACAACATTTCTGCTTTACAACAATATGGAGGGGTTCGTAATTGAGAAGATTTTGTTACTGTACATATATGTTTTGGTACACTTCATTAATTAAATTGTCTGTTTGACAGGTCAAAGGCTTATCAGCTATGCTGAAAACAAATCTAGAGAAGGGAGTTGTTGGGGATGAGAATGATTTGTTCAAACGAAGGAATGCATTTGGATCAAATACATACCCTCGGAAAAAAGGGCGGAGTTTCTTGGTATTATTAAAAATTTTACTAGAAGTTACGTTTTCTGTAATTACTCTATTCTGCTAGGAAGAAGTTTTAATGGTGCTGTACAATCTGATTTCTCCTGCAGCGGTTCCTCTGGGAAGCTTGGCAAGATTTAACTCTCATCATATTAATTGTAGCCGCTGTGGTGTCGTTGGTGCTTGGAATAAAAACAGAGGTATGATTCGCCCTCCTTTTACTTACTGCATTTAAAAAATAAAAAATAAAAATTGCGGCATGATTTGTTCAAAGAGATGACTTCCTCTTACTTAATGTTTGGGATAAGATCACATTACTTCTTCTGGATGTTGTATGGAATATCCTTCTGTTTTTATAATGATATAAATCTGAAAAACTTGGTACTACTGCTGTTTCTATGCTAAAATACTCGAATAAAAAACATAAATAAAGTAGACATAACGACAGGTAATAATAATATGGTAAAAAATAAGAATCTCATTCTGAAAGGTCTACAAAAGTGCCATGTGTGTTTAAACCATCCTTTTGCAATCTGGTGGTTATTCAAGTATGTCATAGATTTACTCCTATTTATGAATGGAAAACATTCTATGCATAAAAGCTTCGTGTGAAAAATACCACCTATTAATTTATATAAATTGAACACAAAAATATTTTTGCATTAATTAATAATTATTATTTATCACTGTGCTTGGGCTGATATGCTGCCTAAAACTTGGCTAGTAAAAAAAATTTTTTTTTTTGGTTCCCATAACATTTATAAAGAATGACTATTCCGTTTTTGCACACACACACACATATATGTATATGTATATGTATATATTACTCTATGATCCTTTATTTGGATTATATATCTTTCTTTCCTGATAACACTCACAGGGTCTTGAAGAGGGATGGTATGATGGGGGAAGCATTGCCTTTGCTGTCTTGCTTGTCATAGTTGTTACAGGTAGAATATTCTATCTTGTGATCTTCTCTTTAAATATATTGGCACTCTTTCTGTCAATATGACGTGGGATCTTGTAATGTTTAATGAGTGTTCAATGTCGCACTTTCTTCTTACCTTGTGTCATCGAATAAGCGTCAATTCTTGTTCTCTTTGGAAATAAAATTTGGAAATGGTGTTCCAAGATGATAGATAAACTTTTATGGTGTTTTTAGAGCTGGATTGTTACTAGAGTTTGAGCTTGCTGCGACCTGCTTTTGCAGACACACTAAAAAGCAATCTCAAATTTCAATCCAAATTAAGTTTGTGGCAAATGATGTTCTAAGATAATTAAATGGATAAACTTTTCTGGTGTCTTATAGAGTTGGCGAATGCTCACTTGAGTTTGGGCTTGCAGTAACCTGCCTGTGTGTATATACACAGAAGCAATCCATATTCAATACCATTTACTACCTTAAATGGGTTTCCATGATTTGATAGTGATGAAATTGTGGTTCTTTCTGGAGCAGTAGATATCTCTTTCTATAAGTATAACGGTATTATGTTTTGACTTTTGACATTTTTTTTTATTGTTGTCCAGCTGTTAGTGATTATCGTCAGTCTCTTCAGTTTCAAAATTTAAATGCAGAAAAGCAAAATATACAGCTGGAGGTGCGAACTCTTAAAAGCTTGGGATTTATTTTTATTTTTTTATTTTTTTGCTTGAAGAGAATTTAGATTTCAAGTTATTATGGTAAATTGTCTATGTCGTTTGAAAATTTCTGCAGGTCATGAGAGGCGGAAGAGCAGTAAAAATTTCCATATTTGATATTGTTGTTGGTGATGTGGTACCTCTTAAGATAGGTGATCAGGTAAGAGTCTTACTAATCCTTGGGTTTCTTTATTATGCCATTGTATTCTTGAATTGTTTGAATCCAACTGTATCTTTTATTTAGGTCCCTGCTGATGGAATTTTAATTACTGGTCATTCTCTTGCGATTGATGAATCAAGCATGACTGGCGAAAGCAAGATTGTGAGCTGGTTATCCCTCGTTGTGTTTTTGTTATTTGATTGTCAATCCTTATTATTCTTAGGCATCAAATGTTTTTCAGGTTCGCAAGGATCACAAAGCACCCTTTCTAATGTCTGGTTGCAAAGTGGCAGATGGTGTTGGTACAATGCTGGTAGGATAATTTAATAATTTTTTTTCTTGTTGCATGACCTTATAGTATAAGGTCTTACTAAGCTTAACAAATCTTGAAAGTTCCCTTTTTTTTTTTCTCTTCATTCTGTTTCTTGTCATGTTAAGTACTAAGGCTTGGTTTACCTTGGAAGCTTGATGTTAATTGTTGGGTTAAAAGTTCTGCGGTTTATTTAATCATAAAAAAGGAATTTATTTTATGGTTCATAGGCAACAACTGACGGATTAGTACATCTAAACAACTCTAATTTGCTGTTATTGCTATGGCTCAATTTCTAACCCTGAATGTGCTATTCATGTATATTAACCCTGAAAAAATAAGGAACCCGAAAAAAAATAAAAAAGAACGAAGAGAAATATATAATTGTTATTTGTAAATATATATTAACAGAAAAGTACGTATAATATATATAATAACATATAAAACAAAATGTATTATATATACATATATATATATATATGTTTTACTTTGTCGTGTAGTTGTTATTTATTTTCTTTCACTCTGGCTTAGCTAACTGTTGGAACGTAAATTGATTCGGACATTGCTTTTTTTTTCTCTTTTTTTTTTTTTTTTCGGTTTGGTGTGGGTGGGGGTGTTTGTTGGTGTTGGACCCCATTTTCTCATGAATGCCGATTTCATTCTATCTATGACATTATTTGTTTTTTATTTTTAATTATTTCCAAGAATTAACAAGATGTTATGTAATTAGAACTACTCTCTCCGTTCTTTTCATGTATATTGATACCCAGTGTAGCATCTCCTTGTTTCTTATTTCACTTGCAAAGGATAATGTATTCTGTATGTTAAGAATTGCTCCTTCTCTACACTTTTTCCCTCCTTTTGAGTTACAATTCACTATAACCATCACGAGCTTCACCTTTCTTTAGCTATCTGTAGGTAACTGGCGTTGGAATTAATACAGAATGGGGATTGTTAATGGCAAGTATATCAGAGGATACAGGTGAAGAAACGCCTTTACAGGTTTGTTTTTCTCTACTTTAATGTCGTAGCTTAAATAATGGCTATTTTTGCTTGAATTGTTAGAGCAAACTTTTGACTCTGATAGGTACGCTTGAATGGAGTGGCAACTTTCATAGGCATTGTTGGGCTTTCGGTGGCTGTTTCTGTGCTTGCCGTACTTTTGGGCAGGTATCTTGGATGGAAGTTTTATTTTCCTAGAATGTATTCTAATTTTTGGCCTAATTCTTCTTCTAATGACCTGCCTCTTACTTGAATTCTATGACAACTAAACACTATAATCTGTTTTTGAATGCTTAGATACTTTAGTGGACATACAAAAACTCATGATGGAAGTCGCCAGTTCATCAGGGGTAGGACTAGTGTTAGTGATGCTGTAGACGGAGTCATTAAAATATTCACCATTGCGGTAAGTTTCTATAAGTGAAAATACCTCTGTTATGTTTTATTACTCAGGAAAAACACTAATATATACAGGGATTAGATATTAATTGTATCTACCAACTAATACTAGACGGAATAAAAATAGGATACAATAAATAGTGCAGCTAAGTAGCTATTATTAGAGAAGACGATCCTAGACACTTCTAACAGTTTCAATTCCTCGATGTTTGTTATGCTTGTTGATTGTCTTTGTTTTGGTCCTTGAGCTAACTGCAAAATCAATCATTCAGGTCACAATTGTGGTTGTTGCAGTGCCGGAAGGGCTCCCTTTGGCTGTCACCTTGACGTAAGTATGAGACAATGTTTTTGTTCCCGATGCATTAATTTGGGTGCTCATTCCAGTATTAAATAGTAATAAACTATTGCTATTTAATTTATCAAATTTTCTCTGTACTTAATTCTTTGACAGACTAGCCTATTCGATGAGGAAAATGATGGCAGACAAAGCATTGGCAAGTTTCTTCCTCTTCTTTGTCTTTGACCGATATGCTATTTTTAATACTGTCCTCTTTCTTACTCTCCCTCCCCAAGAGTTTATATCTTTTTCAATTTTGTACTACCATTTTGTAACAGACATACATGTGCAGGTGCGGAGGTTGTCTGCCTGTGAGACTATGGGCTCTGCAACAACAATTTGTAGTGATAAGACTGGAACGTTGACTTTAAATCAGGTATGTATGTATACAGAATTAAATATTTTTTTAAAAATAGATTATTGGGTCATATGACATCATAAATGCTGATAGAAAAAAAAATTTATTCTACAGATGACAGTTGTCGAGGCATACGTTGGCAAAAAGAAGATGAATCCCCCAGATGACCCCTCACAGTTGCACTCAGATGCTTCTGCTCTACTGAGTGAGGGCATTGCACAAAATACCACAGGCAATGTTTTTGTGCCAAAGGTATGCCATCTCTCTCTCTTTCTCTCCCCCCTAGATGATAACTTACCTCAATTAGGGAATGTTACTATTTGTGTTGGAATACCTGAAAGTGAAGAACAGAATTTTTAAAATCATTGGAAGATTAATGCCGTGTGAATTGATAATAAGATGAAGCCTATTACGAAATTTTTGGATTTTAGTATTTATCTTAGTTGTCGAACTTTCGGTTTATTGCACCAATAACAAAAGAAATTGTTTTACGGGCCCGTTTGGCAGAGCTTTTGCTTGAGCTTTTAGTCAGCAGAAGGAGAAGTAAAAATTGTGGCTTTTTAGCAAGTGTTTGGAACCACATTTCTAAAGAGCTTAATGGATTAAAATCATTTTTGAACTTTTTAATAAGCAATAAAAGAATTTTAGAATGAAGTTTATAATGCCTTAATAAAACCATGGTACAAGTTTTAATGTCTATTTGGAAGAGCTTTTTTTAAAAACCACATTTGTGGCTTTGGATGGGAGCTCTTCTAGAGAGCCAAACTCTTCTAATAGATCATCCAAACACTTCCAGAAGCAGCTATTGGACCCAAAAACCCAAAAGTAACGTTTAAAAACCCAAGTTTCAAGTTTACTATGTATGTTGCTTATGTTCAACTTCCACAAATGTGCTTGCTCTTTTCTCATGTTGGATGCTGGAAGCTTTTATTTGTTAGTTCTTCTGAAGACTGATCTTACATTAAAATCTGTCTTTAAATGCATTTTGTTTTAGCAGGGTGATGGAGATGTAGAGATCACTGGATCTCCCACAGAAAAGGCTATACTTTCTTGGGCTATGGAGGTACCCTCTTTTTTTTATTGTATCTTAGTATGTACAAAGTTTCTCACTTTGACGTTGTTCGGATTATCAACATATGTGTTGCAGTTGGGGATGAAGTTTGACATCATCAGATCAGAGACTATTGTTCTCCATGTTTTCCCGTTCAACTCAGAGAAAAAACGAGGGGGTGTTGCACTGAAACAGGTAAGGGCTTTGTTAGTTTACCAATCTATCCCAAAAGCTTAAGTTGTTAGGAGGTGGGCCAATAATAGTTTTTATACTTTAACTTTCCTCCTCACGTGTGGGCTGGACAATGGGTAATTGTTTGGGTAAATTAATTGGAAAATCCAACACGTGAATATTTGATAATAAGCCCGAATATATGTTAAAGACCCAATACGTAATGACAATTTTAATGGGGATAAAGAGTGCAATTACGGGAGTTTGAACTCAAGACCTCCTGCTCTGACACCATGTTAGTTTACCAATCTATCCCAAAAATTTAAGCTGTTAGGAGGTAGACCAACAATAATTTTTATACTTTAACAAGGATTCAGCAATAATGCAATATTTCAAAGTTAGTCGTCACAAGTTTGAAACTTTCCTGAAGTTGCATGATTTAATATCCCGTTAATTGTTCCATATGGCCTCATAAATTAAAGCCACTCTAAATTTCCTATGTTATTATAAAATTTTTCAGAGACAAACACCACAATGTTGCATAGGTACAGGAAAAGCATTACCTGTTTCAGGTGTAGAATCTGTTCCATTTGTTTGATTGCCTTGTGTAATAACATTGTATATTTTAATGGCAGAAGGATTCAAAAGTTCATATACATTGGAAGGGTGCAGCTGAGATAGTTTTGACCTCGTGTACAAGGTATCTTGACTCAAATGGTTGTGTGCAGTCCATCCATGCAGACAAGGTAGGATTGTAAGGATTGTTGATTTGTTCCACAGTAGAAATAAAATTCTGAGAAGAATGTTTGAGATAATTAAAAGGAAACAGTGGAATTAGAGAAATATTTTAAGTAAAACATATACTGAAGAAATTATGGCAAAGAGCTCCAGTAGCTCACTTCTGTTTGTATTGATGAACCTGAAAACTGCTTAGAACACTTAACCGTGGTGGTTATGCAAGAGATTGTTAGTGTGAATTGGAGTTGCAAATGCTGCTTAAGTAGGGTTAAAAGTAAAGTTCATCTGGTATATTATGGTTGATTGTTGTATTTTTAGTTGCTTTTGCTCTTCTTGTCTTGTTTTTTCACAGAGGATACGTTAACCTTATTACCTGTAATTGATTTTCATCAATAAAGGTGTTTTTCTTAGCAAAAAGATTTTTTTTTTTTGATGATCTATTGAGTTAATATTTCGGACTCCCCATGAGTGGATTGAGTATTTTGTATAATCCTAAATGTATAAGTGAACTGTCTACTTTCTAGCGTGTGCTTTGTAAATATGGTGATTTAGAAACGTGCTCCTTATGAGATCCTCTTATGATGATGGTTTCTCTGGCTTTGTTGCGAAAAAGTTCAAAGTCAAATTATTATCATTCTGAATAATAGTGCACCATTTATATTTACCATTGAGGACTTGTGCGATGAACACCTTGCCTGTGTGTTGGATTGAAAATCTATAAAAGATTTGCAAGAGAGTCTGATTATCGAGCATTATTTTTGAACTTGATTGAAAGTAGTTCTCTGTTAATTTATATGTTCAATTTTCTTTTCTTATTCTTTTTGTAGGACTTTTTCATGGAATCTATTGATGACATGGCTGCAAGAAGTCTGAGATGTGTCGCCATTGCATACAGAGCCTATGATTTGGCCAAAGTTCCTGTCGAGGAAGAACAATTGGCTCAATGGGCTTTACCTGAAGATGACCTCGTTTTACTTGCTATTGTTGGAATAAAAGTATGCATAAAAACTGCTTTCCGAAATAACTGCACATACCTTTTTTTTAAAAAAAAAAAATTATATGATACTGTCTGGTTCTTGGTTTTTAATCATTATCGCTGTGCATGGCTCATCAGTTTTGTGTGGCTGAGTTTGGATATGTTCATTTCTAAAAAAGGTAGCAAGATAGTAATCAGGTCAACGTGAGTGTTTTCTTTAGCTTGAATGATTTTTCTCTTACTACCCTGATCATACTGTTGGAATTTGGTCAATGCTCAAGGATGTGCTTTTTCTGTGCCTCCGAAGTCCGTTGATTAATGACTTAGGTTTTGAAGTTGACGGCACAGGGAAATGCACGAGTCTTTAGCAAAACCTATGATATTCTTTTGTCAACTAGCTGGTTTTACGAGGTAGCCCATATGGTACAATTATTATCATTTTATAGATACACACATGAGGTAGAACGTTAGAATTTGAGTTCTCTTTTGTTCTGTATAGCTTTGTTATGACTATAATTTTTCTTTTTTTCACTTTTTCTACTGTTGGATTGAAGAGAGGCATTTCCTAATGTTCCAGTGACCAATTTGGATATGTACTATACAACTTTGTGGAGACTAACTTTTGATGCATTTATTTAACTTAGTGTAAATATAAAATGCTCGTTCTTATTGCACAATTTCTCATAGTCATTGTATTTTTATATCATCTCTAAACCAATACTATTTCTGTATGTAGGATCCTTGTCGTCGTGGAGTCAAGGATGCAGTAAAAGTATGCACAGAAGCTGGTGTTAAGGTAGTCTACCACACATTCTTCATATTATCTTTGTATGCATTATTGATGTGTGTGATTGCATATGTTATTAATTTATCACATCATTTTCTTTATTTATGTATTGCTTAACCTGAACAAAGAATGGTCGTCACTTTATAATGTTGTTCTTCCTTTGTGCAAAATCCTGTTTTAGATTGATTTCAAACTGGAAAGTAATTGAACATTACTGCAACATGATGATAAGGGGTTCAAATTTGGTGGAAGGAAATATTTCTGAGATATGTAGCAAATATTTAACATCCAATATTATTGTCTTCTTAGTGGACACATGTTAAGAATGCTTGTTCACTATTAAAATTTTCTATTTGAAACCTTGGATTTAATTTAGGATAATATGTTTCTGCTTGTATGTATGATACAAGTTCTATTTTAATTTGAAAAACTTAAAAACCGATTAAACAAATAGAGTGGGAATTGCGTGTTTTTAATTGTCTAGGTACGCATGGTTACTGGAGACAATCTTCAAACAGCTAAAGCAATTGCTCTGGAGTGTGGAATACTTCGTTCAATTGCAGAGGCTACTCATCCTAATATCATTGAAGGGAAAGAATTCCGTGTATTATCTGAAAAGGATAGGGAACAAGTTGCCAAGAAAATAACGGTATGGCTTCAAAAGCTTTCAATTTTGGCTATGTCCGTCTTAGCGCTAATGGAACTTGTAGGACTGCATTTTACATATCATGAATGAGCATTAAATTATAGGAATTATGCAGGTAATGGGAAGGTCTTCCCCGAATGACAAGCTTTTACTCGTACAAGCATTACGTAAGGGGGGAGATGTTGTTGCTGTAACAGGAGATGGCACTAATGATGCCCCTGCACTTCATGAGGTTTGTGCGTTTGACAATTTAAAGTACCTTAAGGATATTTCAGGATGTATCTGTTAGCTCTAATTTCAAGCATTTAAATTAGCACAGTTTTCAGCACTTCTTTGGGCTTCTACACCTGAAGAATTTAAGCATTTCTCACTTGATTTGATAGTTCTTAACTGGAGAGCTGTAATTGGGAGTTAACTTTTGTCTTTGGTTTTTTCTCTCGTCTTTTTTTCCTTTTTATTTTTGTTTTGTGGGATTCTTGTTGAGGAGATCTCATCTTCGGCTTTCTTGTATTGATCTTTTTTTTTAATGAATAAGTCTTTGTTTATTACTAAAAAAAAAAGCTGTAATTTCAAGTATTTAAGAACATTAATGGGTCGCTGTGGTTGCCTAGTTGGTGCGTGTTGCTTGAGATTTCTGGCGTTCTCAGGCAACAGTGCACCATTGTGTCACTGTCATCGATATATTTGCTCACTTTCCATCACTTTGCTAATTTTTTTGTGTTTGAATGTTGGAGTACAGTGTTTTATCATACCCGTATCCTGTTTTTATATGAAGCGTCCTAGTAAAAGTCATGATTGTCTGCACCATTGTCATTGTTTATTTGTTAAACTTATGTTCTCAATTCTGCATCATAGCCAATGGCAAGATATTTGGTTACATTTTAATGAGTTTCGTGCACTAGACAATACACATGCATACACACGTACAATGTTTTCTGTTTTGCAGCTTCTAGAATTTCAACTGGTTATTTTCATTTTTACCATGTTTTCTGGTCATATTTGATTGCATTTATACCATTCTGTATTTTAGGCAGATATTGGTCTTTCGATGGGCATTCAAGGAACTGAAGTCGCAAAAGAAAGTTCAGATATCATTATCTTGGATGATAACTTTGCTTCAGTTGTCAAGGTATGTAAGCAGATCTTGTATCTATCTGGCAGTGTATGAAATCTTTTTTTTTTCCCCTTTTCCTTGTGTTTTTGTTTACCATAAGGATTCACTACTTCTAATTTTATTGCTGTTTTTTAGAATATTAATTAGTTTCTTAAAATGATTTCTTAGTAGTTTTTTTTTTTTTTTATTTTTTTTTATTTTTTTTTATTTTTATTAAATACGTGGTTCTTCTGGTCTGTAATGTTATTATGTTGCATCTTATATTATGAGTCATTATTCTTCGAGAGATGGATACACTTTGTACTTCTGGAAAGTTCTTACATTTGATCTCAAAAGCTGACCTTCATGTGGATTTAAGCTATATATATATATTTATATATATTTAAGAGAAGTCTCAGAACAGTCTTAATTATGATAATAGGGACGCTACAAGTGTACATTATGCTTCCTTTGCAGGAACAAAATATTATACAATGTGACTTCTCTAAGAGGACTATCCATTGACATTTGATTTTGATTATGCTATATACTATTACAACTGTAATAAATTTATTTGAGGAAAGGGATGATCATAATTGCTTTTTTACGAGGTTTTGAGACAAGCCTTCACTCCTAATTCTGGATGTATCCCTTTGTCTACTTTGTGTAGGTTGTTCGCTGGGGGCGTTCTGTGTATGCAAATATTCAGAAATTTATTCAGTTCCAGCTTACGGTCAATGTTGCTGCTCTTGTAATTAATGTTGTGGCGGCAATATCTTCTGGTGATGTTCCTCTAAATGCAGTACAGGTTGGTTTCCAATACACGTGCGTGCACGTACTTGCACACGTTCTTTGTTATGAATAGGAATTATCCAGTCCTGCACTCAGTTCTGTACGTCTTGGAATGTTCTTGAATTTGAAGGCAAAACAAAAGCATCAGGCAACCTCAAATTCTGTTTTCCTTGATGGGCTGTCACACTGATTGGGATTTATAAAATAAATTTAATTAAACCAAAATAGGAAATTAACTTGGTCAAAGTTAATTAATGTCATGTACTGCTTTGAAGACTTTAAAACTAATAAAATCTATATAAACAATCCAAAATCCAATACGTGTTTTTCAATTCAGTTGATTTCAGTTGGCCAGTGTCGTGATAATTGCATTCCATGGGTGTGACATGGGTTCTTTTTACAAACCAGTGCATGTATGTGGAGTTTGTTTTCCGTAAAGAAACAGATCTTTAGTGAAAATAAAAGAGGATAAAGCATTATCCAAAACCCAAACTATTAGTTCAACAAAGTTTCAACTTTCAAGATGTCCTTCCAGTTACAAAACCATGTGTAAGATCATGTATTACAAAATCCTGCCAGAACTCATGATATGAGCAACATCATATTACGAATTCCTGCCTTCTTTTGCATAAATTCAGAAAGTATTTGTCATAGTAAATTTCAGTTTATATCGTGTCTGTCTATTTTAGTTCCAGATGGGGAAATTTGTTGCTCTTCTTTATTTAGGCTTTGAAAAACATACAAATGAGTGATGTGTTATGGTGCTTTTGTATTTTCTACAGCTTCTGTGGGTTAACTTGATCATGGATACTCTTGGAGCACTTGCATTGGCTACCGAACCACCTACAGACCACCTCATGCGTAGATCACCAGTTGGCCGAAGGTTTGACAGTGCTTGCTTTTAGTTCTTCCCAAATTCCCTTTTCTTCTTGATTTGATGTTACAAACTCTATCATGGAAATAAGATAGTAGTGTGTGTGTGTGTGTGTGTGTGTGTGTGTGTGTAGGTATACATGTATGTATGCAGTCTTGAATGTCTTTGCAAGCCATAGTTGTGTTTTTACTATTAGTTGTCTTGGAAGGGCAGAAGATAAAAAATGGATTTGTATATGACTACTTGTAATTTTCACTTTTATACAGGGAACCTCTTGTAACAAACATTATGTGGAGGAACTTAATCATACAGGTACCAATTTTCTACTTGTATCTTTGGAAAATTTTAGATCTCTGGAGAATATGAATGAAGAAACAAAAATTTTACTTTGTTACAGGCTTTGTATCAAGTTGCTGTCCTTTTGGTCCTCAATTTTTCTGGCAATAGTATTCTCCGTCTGAATAATTACACGAGAGAGCATGCTGTGGATGTTAAGAATACTGTTATATTCAATGCATTTGTTCTCTGCCAAGTAAGTATGATAGTTGAAATCTACAATTTTGCTTCTCAATGGATTCCTAATGCTAAACTCGATACTATTTACTTTGCTGTCAACGCGATTTGTATAATATCTAACCGACATATTCTCTCAAATGTTCAAACTGCAGATATTCAACGAGTTTAATGCTCGAAAGCCTGATGAAATAAATGTCTTTAGTGGAGTGACTAAAAATCACCTCTTCATGGCAATCGTTGGGATTACTTTTGTCCTTCAGGTGAGGCCAAAATGGATGATCTTGATTGACTCTTGAGCTTATATTATAGAGATTTTGTATTAATAGATGTCTAATCGATTCGCAGATAATCATCATTGAATTCCTTGGAAAGTTCACTTCAACCGTAAGACTTAATTGGGCATATTGGCTTGCATGTGTTGGCATCGCGATCGTCAGGTAGGTTATAACCTTGTGGTGCTTATTTGTTTCGAAAAGCTATTGAAGTTTCAACCTCAGTGTAATTTGATTCTTGAGTCCTACATCATTTAATTTGATTGTTTGCCTTCTGAGTCTGCCAAGTTATTATTATTTTTTCTTCATACAGTTTTGGATATGAGATTTCTAAAATTGTCTCATCTGATGTCTTGGGCATTTGATGACACTCCTTTCCCTCAAATGTCAAACTCTCTTTAGCAAAATAAAAATAAAATAGAATAGAATAAGATGTCAAGCACCAGTGCGGGTTTGGTTCATAGGTCTGGATTTGGTGATTTGAACCTTCCCATACAATAAAAAATTTCAGATTGTTTCAGTTTTGGTCAGAAGGTTTCAAACCGTATGCTATTCTCTTCTCTATTTAAGGATCCGAGCATAACATTCATGTCAAGTTTACAAGTGGACGAGAATTATATTAGAACCCCATCCTCGTAAATTTTAACTGCCTTTGCCTTATTGCAGCTGGCCTCTTGCTATATTTGGAAAACTCATTCCCGTCCCGAAGACCCCATTAAGCGAGTACTTCCGCAGACCGATTCGCTGGTACAGAACTTCCCTTAGAGCATAGATCTCATCTCGTGGGATTGAGAAAAAGCATGCTACGAGTATAAGTTAAAGATCTCTCTACATACAGTTTGTTTTTTTTTTGTTTTTTTTTGTTTTTTTAAATCCTCTTTTTGCATTCAGACAATGCTATAGAGGTTCCTTATGTCTAATTTACATTACCATTTGTGAAATTGGCAAGTGGTTTTCTTTGGTTTTGTCTTACGTCGAAAAAAAAAGGGGAAAGAATATGATTTGTATATATTACTTGCCACTGGAGCGTAATATTTGGCTCATTATGCTTTGTGCAAAACGCCTTAGTTTGGCGACCGTTTGGTTTAGTGCCACCGGTAGTTTGAGAGTAGTGTGGCTTTGGGGAGGTTACGGGATCGAACCCGCCTTGTGTGTGTGTAATGCTAAAGTTACTCCTGGACATTACTTTCAAGCGAAAAGGAAAAACTATGAATGACTTTGCAGTGTCTATGTTTAGTTCTCTAGCAACTTAACATCCACTAAGTTCTCCTTTTCAATTCTGTTTTTGTTTCCCCTCTTTTTGAACGTAGAGATTGGGGGATTTGAATTCTACACTTCAATTAATTATGAACTTACCGTTGAACTAATGCTTGCAACGACTCATTCACTAAGTCATAGGGGTCGTTTGTCTCGTACACTAACCCAAATCATTGATTCTACTACAAATTTAAATTTCAAACGTCAGAATCAAGAATAATGCCTTCCATAAAGTTTAGAAAATCTTCTGCGTTTTTGTGATGAGCATTGTCCTCAAGAAATCTGGTCATTTCTTAACATAACTATTCTAGACTCTAGTTTCTACTATGAGTTTTCTTATGTTTCCATGATGGTTATTAATCAAATATAAAAGTTTAATGTCGTGGCTTGATAATAATTTGATTTTATTAATTGTTATAAAATTCTTTTGTTAATTGTTTAATTTATTATAATTGTCGATCAATAGCTTATAGTTAATTGTCATGAAATAACCATTAAAACTATGTCTGGAATAGTTGGATACGTGTAACTTTTTTTGTTTATATCTGTGTAACATCATTTATTCGTGTATATAACACTCAATTTGTTTAACATATAATAAACATAGTCTAACAAATGTAACATTGAATGTATGTAAGTATATGAAAATAGTTAAATACGAATGAACGAACAACATTATCTATACCTAACTGTATGGCTGTCTAATAAGAAAATATGAAATTGCACCCAAAACGACATGTTGATTGTTTGTCAACACGACGTGTCACAGGTATACATGTCCAGTCCGTCCCTAAAACCCTTCCAATGCCTCTCTCTCTCTCTCTCTCTCTCTCTCTCTCTCTCTGAGTCTGAGAAGACTCCACTGCAACTTCAATTGGGATTTCGTAGATAGAAGACGACAATGGCGAACAAACCATGGCGGATCATCCCAAGGCCACTGCTGGAGACAGTGCTCAACAACCACGCCTCCCACCACCGTGTCCACCAGCCTCTCATCTTCCACGGCCCCAGAGGCGTCGGCAAAACCACTCTCATTCTCGAACGTAAACTCCCCCATTTCCCTGCCAACTTTCCTTCCGCTTCACCTCTCTCTCTCTCTCTCTCTCTCTCTCTCTCTCTCTCTCTCTCTAATCCCTTCTCTCTCTCTCTCTCTAATCCCTCCCCTCTTCTCGATTTCCAGGTCTTCTCGGAGAATGGAACACAGCCCCTCACCTCACCGGCTATGTCGACTTCGCCGAGTGCGTCAAAGATCACCACCCTCAGTTTGATCAATCGTTTCCCTGGTCTTCCTGGTCCATTTGCCCCCATCCCTCGCTCTCCGTTTGCCGAACCAAGCTCGAGGAATGCCTCGAATCCATGGCCTACCAGGGAGTGAAGCTCGGCACAATCAGCTCCCACCAAATCTTCTCCACACTCAACAAGTGGCACGGGCTCAGCGCAGCGCTCGGAAGAATCATTCAAAGCAACAATTCTCCGAAAACGGCCGTCGTCTCCGATAAGGTTTCGAAGTCGGTAATGTGGGACAGGGCTGTGTTCACTCTATCTGCTCGATGCAATGCCGTGGAGATCGATGGAGTCTTGAGCTTGGGAGAGAAGGGGAAGAGCTTGTCCATGGAAGAGGCCTCGTATTACAGAGAGGCGGTTGTGGCGCTGAGGTTGGCGAAAGAGGTGATTAAGGTTCAACATGGTTGGAGGGCTAATGCCATTGAAGATTTGAATCGAAGGGGAGGATTTTCAAGGTCTTTGGCCAATTCTTGTACTGATTGGCCTTGCTTGTTGTTGGAATTGTTGTCACAAGCTGCTGAAATCGGTCATTTTCAGGTAATATTTTTAGCTTGAACTAGATTTTGTGGCTTATTATGTAGTTTAATACGCTAGTTCTTGCCTTTTTTTCCGTAATTTGAATGACAAAGATTACATTTTTTTTTCCTGCTCTTTTCATATGGGCAGCCAAAGCTGGTTATAAATAATATCGAGGTCTTACGAAATGCGATTTTGGTGGATGGGGATTCATCAGTGCGTGCACCGATGTATCATGACAGTCTGATTTGGAGAATGATTGCTTTGGGTGCAAATGAGAAGTCCCTGCCTGTCATACTTGTGACATCCGATAGGTAGGTTCATCCCTGTTCAGCTGGTGTGTTCAAATTCTATATTACTGTGTTTGTTTTTATCAAAATACTCACTTAGAATTTCCTATCATGGAGATATTGAACTTCATCAATTTGGATCTTGAGAGACATTTAAACTTATGCTTTCATGACATTTCAAATGTGGAAAACTTCATGAATCATAAAGTGGAATATTCAGGTTTTATAAGCTGATGGAGCTAAATTCCTGAGAAAGGCCTTTGAGTATGTTTATGTATTTTCTAGTGACTAGAAGTTGTTGTTTATTCACTTTAGATGGTGTGACACTTTCGTGCAAGCTTGTGATACTTTTTAATTTGTCTCAGTTACTATTCGTACCGAGCTTACTTGGATTTTGGATTTATAGACGTATTCATTTCCCGTGAGGTACTTACATCTGAAAGTGCACCTATATATGGTTGGTATTTGCATTATAGTCATTTTGATTATTCTAATGGCAATCTCTCTTGTATTTATAGAATTTTGGATGGAGTGTGCAAGAAGCTAAATTGCATATGGTTACTGATTACTTCAGTAATTCAGAGGTAAGGAACCTTTTGCGTGTGCATGTGTGTGGCTGGAACTGGAAGTTAAGGAACTTTTGTTGGTCTATTAATAAACACATCTTTGGAGATTTGAAGGTGATGAGGCACCTTGTAAATAAAAAATACCCTATCTATTGAACGGAAGACCTAAATTCACATTCCCTGATTACATGTAATACTAATATTGTGTAAGGACTTGAAATCCCATTTTCTTGAAATGCTTCAATTTTGATATCATTATTACTTTGTTCAATTTGTAGTGGAGGATAATAGCTGAGGTGCTTGGTCCGAACCCACGACATCTTTTTGAGTTATATGCACTGAAACAAAGCGATTATCATATGAAGTAAGACTGATTTTTGTTTTGTTTTGATTTTTTTAATTTTCTTTCTTTGCTTCGGTTCTCAATTAGTACCAATGAACATTCTAATAGGATTTGAGACTTTGTTACTTTCTGTGTACAAGTGGTGATGCTACCTTTGTCTGAACTAGAATGGAACTAATCCATCATAAATTTTTGTCCCGTCTCTTTCTGGTTTTCCAGTTTTCTTTAATGCTTTCTCTTTTGAGGATTTGTCTAGAGGATGGGATTCTATCCTTCATTAATTTTGGTTTTGTTTTTGTAGTTTGGTTGCCGGACTCCTTGTCCTCTGTTGTACTGCTTTCCTCTTATTAATAAAATCTCTTGTTTCTTTTTTTTTTTTTTTTTTTTAAAAAGAAGAAAGAAGATGATGTTCTGTGAGAATAAAATGCTTTCTATATCATACCTGTCATCATTATTTATTTCTTCTTTTTGTTGATGCTTTATTTTATGAGAAAATTACTCGTCATTGAATGTTTAAAAGGAAGTATCATACTTTTGGAAGAATTGAAAAATGTTTACCATAAAGGAGACTTTCTTTTCTGTTTTTTCTCCCCTTCCTATGTGGTAAAGCTGTGGACAGTGGTAGTTACTAGTTAGCTAATTATTCTGCCTTATGTATTGTTACTTGTGTTTTCTTGGATTATAGGATGATGAATGACAAAGGTGGCACATTCGAGGATCTTGTAGATGCATATTTAGCATATTTGCAAGTAAGTTAAATAAAAAACCAACCTCTATTTTTTTTTCCTGCTTTCCATACTGCCATAACCTATAGTTTTTTTTTATCCACACTTTGTGCGGCCTCAAATACTCGTTTCAATTATATAGGTTACTGTGGTGAATCCTGCCATGGATAAAGCCTTGAAACTGTTGCAGAACTTTGCTGCTGAAGCACAAAGTGGTAAAATTTCAAAAGATAAGTTATGTTTTGGTGCACCTTGGAGGCATCCTCCACGGAAAGATGACGCCACCTTGCGGTTTGAATGGGCAAAGATCCAATTGATGGACTTTGTGCAGTCTCTAGTCAAGGCAGAGTTCGGGGTACGTGTTATCTGGTATTTGATTGTTTATGCAATATAAAAACTACTAGTTGTGTTAGAGTAACTACTTTATTTGCTTTACATTCAATGCTCTCTTTCTGGTTGTCTACCTTTTTTCTTCTTCCTGTTTTATATTCCTTGCTTGTTGCAGCTCAATTATCTGGCTGACTGGAGCCTGGAGATCTTCGATGATCCTTCTGCTGTTGCATTACTGGAGGTATATATATCTTTTTCTGTAAGTTACGCGTGTGTGGATTTTTTTTTTTTCAGTTATCTCTCTTGAGAGACGATATAGGCGTGTAGTTGATTTGCTTTGCACCTAGGCATTTTTCTAGCTTTCCTAAAACCTGAATTCTCTCCTTATCATTCCGAGATACATTATGCAGGATATAACTTCCTTTCTTTTTCTTTGTTTTGGTGGAATTGCAGGATATAACGTAATATTTCTTCCTCATCTGTTTGTAGGTTGGCCTGCTCTATGCTCAACGAGATCCATCTTTCATTCGTCCTATATCTAGAGGAATTGAGAGGTGTCTCGTCAGATGGTATGGCATGTTCTTGCGTTTGTAGTGTTACAAATCTTTTCAAAAGTATTGACTGATAATTGGGCGCAGGCTTGTCCAAGAGGGTATCCAAATGAGTTATAGGAACTTGCTTCAATATCGGTGGCAGCGATTTGTACGTGGCCGCAGCTATCGTCATTTGTTACAACAAGTGGGCTACAAATAGAGAATTGAAGTAGGTACATAGTCGAAATATTGGAAAATTTGTTTCTAGTTCTAATTCCTTGCAATATTGAAATTTAGTTGCTCATCTGACAACTCAAGGTGATAATATTAGCGTAGGTTAACATCTCGGAGTTTTTGGAATTGAAGGTCTTGTTTTGGTCTTTTGTTGATAGGAAACATTTTCTTTTAGGGTTATTTTGGTCACTGAAATGCTCTTTTTCAATTGAGTAAGTAATTGTTTCATCAACCAAAACGCCTTTCTCATACACTTACAGGTTTCAGCTTGCTTCTTCGTATGGAGATTGAGGTCACTCTTTGAGGCTTATACAGAAATGTTAGTTACTTTGTTTATCGATCTTTTATAGTTTAGATGGCATTTAATCATGTATTTTTTTTCTTCAATTTCACTTGCTTGGTGATGGTAATTAGAAACGCGCATGCACGGGTATCACCGATTTGTCATCGCATGCATGCTACTTAACACTCTCTCTCCCTCAATTTTCATTTACAGTGATTGTGCTGAGATTGGGGAAAGCACCTGAGAGGTTGATCCCAACTAACATTGTAAGAATTTCCTTCTCAGCGTCAAATAGACTAAATATCATCAGTTCCATGCCAGTTTGAAGTGATTTTTAAATTTTTTTCCCCCTCCTATCCTTGGTTGCTTTTATTCATTATATTTGCGAAATTCACAAGTACTGACACGTTCTAACTGTGTTTTTATAAAAATATTTTTAGTTGTCAGCTTCAATTCCATGTAAGAATGTCATCAAGCGAATCGCTGGTTTCCAATTGATTTAAAAGACGCTGCTAGTCACAGATTCAGTTGGTACTTGACGGTGACTTTCATCAGGCGAGCCTCGTCACCAACAATACCATGACAGACAGATTGAGAACTTCGTTTTTATTATTAATATTATTATTTTTTTGTTGTACTATTATTCATTGCAACAAAAATAATTACAGCCTCACAAGAGAGATGTACAATTAAAGTGTATTACTTCAAATTATTTGTAATTTATTTGGCCGGTCACATTTATTTTTTGGATTCTCAGAATTCAATAAGAGTAATGTCCTCTCTGTCTTTTAAGTTTTCAGTTTAATCAGTTTTCCGAAGCAAAATGGCAGGTCAAATTATTATTTTTTGTTTATGTGATAGTTTCAAACTTAGATTAATTGGCTGAGTAATTATGGAAACTTGGTTTCTCTTGATGGGAATTTATCTCCATAGACACAAAAAGATGGAGATTGAGTAAGTATTCACTCCTCAATCTTTTAATTTAAACTACTTAAGTTGATAACGGCCATTTAAAATCGAACAGGAAAAGTACAATTTACTTAATTTAAATAGTTTTCGGCGAAACGGTGCAATTTACTCCCTCAGTATTTGAGTCTAGATGTCAAGATATTATTGGTCTCCGTTTTCTCCTAAAAAAAAAAATACACATATTGGATAGTTCTAAACCAATCCAACATTTCGATGCGGATTTGTCATTATACATACTACTAAAGGAAGTACTCGGGCTACTGTTCTTAGAACAGTGCTTGGTCCTTCCTCTCTCTTTTCTTTGGATAAATTTCGGCTGTGTTCTAAGTTTGTGTTTTTACCGTTTTATTATTAGTTTCTTATTTTTGTTTTGGTTTTTGTTTGGGTATTTTTGTTTTATCCTTCGGTTTGAAAAAATTATGGTTGCTTTTCTCATTGCGAAAGTTCTGGAATTCTTCATTTATGTCCATTTATTTTTTTCCTCTTTCTCTCTCTTGCTTTTCGTGAGGTTTCTGGGATTAATTTTTGTTTGTTTGTTTGGTTTTTTCGCCGTTTCTTTCCGTCAAGCTTCTGGATTTAGTTATTTCTATGCATTTTTTCCCTTCTTTTTTTCTTCCTTTCATAAGGCTTTTGGGATTCATTTTTTATATTTGTTTTATTTTGTAGTCTTGTTTTTCGTTTCTCTTTCCTTAGATTTGGCTTCGTTTTTTTCCCTGTTTTGTGCATTTTTTTTCCTTCCTTTTTTCTTTCTTTTCGTAAGGCCTCTCGGAATCATTTTTTATGTTTGTTTTGTTTTGTAGTTTTATTTTTCGTTTTTCTTTTCTTAGATCTAGCTTCGTTTTTTTCTCTATTTCTTTATTCGGTTTTTTTCTCCCCTTTTTCCAGATCTGTTAGTGTTTTTATAGATTTGGCTTCATTTTTTCTTCCGTTTTTTTTTATTCGGTTTTTTTCCGTTTTTCCAGATCTGTTAGTGTTTTTGCTTCGTTTTTTCCCTGTTTTTTAAATTCATTTTTTTTTTCCATTTTTCCATATCTGTTAGTGTTTTTGTAGATTTGGCTTCATTTTTTTCAGTTTTTTATTTCCGTTTTTCCAGATCTGTTAGTGTTTTTATTTCCAGATCTGTTATTTGTTAGTGTTATCTATTAGTTTTTTTTTCTGTTTTTTGATTCGGTTTTAATTTCTAGATTTGTTTTGTTCTAGTAGTATTGTATAGTTTCTTTTGATTTGGTCTTTGTTCCCTTTTTTTTTTATCGTTCGGAATAGATTTCGTGTTATTTTTTCTGTCAATTTTTTAAGATTTCTTTTTGTCAAATTTTTTTACTTCTATTTCATATTGAGGTTTTGTTATTTCTTTTTTTTTTCTTTCTTTATTTTTTTTTTATTTTTTTTATTTTTTTTATTTTTTGTGTTTGGTGGTTTAGGTATTCGAAATAATCCATTTTCCTCTCTTTTTTTTTTTTCTTTTCTCTATTTCGGTTGTTTTTTCATTAGGTCTTAGAAATAATATATTTTTCTTTTATTTTTGTCCTCTTTTCTCTATTTCGATTATTTTTTATCCGTTTGTTGGTTATTACGTTGTCTAACACCTGTTTTTACTAATTATTACATGTTTTCATATTTGTTTGTAGGTTATATTAGTCAGAAATATTTAGACATTTGTTTTTAGTGCAGGGTAATTTTTTCTAACGGATTATTTTGTTTTCACTGTCTGCAGGTTATTCATTATGTTCCACGGTAGTTATCATGCAGTGAAACACCTGTTTTTAACAAATTATTACGTCTTGTTTGCAGCGTAACAGCGGTAGTATTAAGTTTTGTTTCCAGTATTTGCTACCGCCACATGCTCAAAAGTTTATTTTCTTTCTATAAATATATTATTTTCTCTTTCATGCTTACTGTATTTTGCTTTGTTTCTGTTTTCGTTGTCATACACTTACCGTCTATCTTCTCTATTTCGTTTCTTTTCTTCAATTTTCAATAGTGAGTTTTTTTCCCCTTTTCTGTTATCTTTGTTTTGGAGTTTTTTTTTTTTTACTTCTCCTGCATCAACTCTATCCACTTTCGTTATTGCTCTAAGGTACTCCTTTCTTATTTCTTCCACGTTATTTCTAACTGCTCTTAAAATTGTATGTATTATATTACTATGATTTTTTAACTGTATATATTAAGTTGTTAATATATGTACTCACTGTTTTATGTTATTACGATTATGTTTGTATTAAGTTTGTTAATATTATTTGTAAGACATTCTTTAGTGTTTATAGTATATAAGTTATTGCTATTTGAGTAAAAATTAAGTTTGTATTCTATTTATTATATTAATCTGTCAACACTCTGTTTTCTATCTAATGTGAATTCTCATTTGGTAATGATGTAGTATTTTTCTTTTATTGTTACCATGTATTAAATAACTGTTTATTGTGATTTAGCAAGCTTTGATGTTGCCCAAATTATTTAAGATTTATGTTCTTTTATTTATCCTGTTTTGTCAACACTATATTACTCTTATTATCATTTTCTACTCTAAAATGGTTTGCTCTTTATCTGATTTTACTGAAGGGTTTTCATTCTATTCTTTTACTGTTGCCTCTGTTGTTGGTTCGCCAGTTGAACTCATTTTTATGTTTATGAAGTTTTTGAGATTTTATTTACTTCCTTGCTTTTTTACCACTGCAATATTTCTTCTTTTTCTATTCTCTTTGTTTTGTTCTCAAATATTTCAGTTAGTCTTCTGGGATTGATTTGTTTTGTTTTCAAATATTTGAGTTACTTTTTAGGCATTGGTTTTGGTCTAAACCATTTTTCTCTTTTATTATTATATTTTTGTTTCGTTCTTTTTTTCTTCATTTCTTTTTTCCTTCTTATTCTTCATGAATCTTTTTAATAATTCAGTTGGTACTGAATGACATTGCTAAATCTTATTTCAATTATTTCTAATGCGTGATGTTAGCAATTAAAGGCAAAATACCTGAACCAAATTGTTTATATTTGTCTATTTAATTTCCCTATCTATTTCTTTTTTACTATTATTCATGTAATCTACTATTTTACATAAGATTTTTGATATTTTATCCTTCTTATTTTTCTTCATGCTATGTTCCCCTTCATTTTTTACCACTACAATATTTGTTGCTTTCTTGTTGTCATTGTTAACATTAAAAAGAAACTCTTAAGTTTTGATTTTTAGTTTTTTTAACATTTTCTTCAATATTTTCATATTTTTTTCCTTCTCAAATATTACAGTCACTCTTCAGGAAAAGGTTGTTTCTAAAAATTTCCTTTTCTCTAAGGTATTTCTTTCTTACTTCTTCCACGTTATTTCTAACTGCTCTTAAAATTTTATGTATTATATTACTATGATTTCTTAAGTGTATATATTGAGTTGTTAATATATGTGGTCATTGTTTTATGTAATTATAATTATGTTTGTATTAAGTCTGTTAATATTATTTGTAAAATATTGTTTAGTGTTTATATTACGTAAGTTATTATTATTTGAGTAAAAATTAGATTTCTATTATATTTGTTATATTAATCTGTGAGCACTCTCTTCTCTATCTAATATGATTTCTCATTTGGTAATGATGTAGTATTTTCCTTTTATTTTTACCATGTATTAAATAACTGTTTATAGTGTGATTTAGCAAGCTTTGACGTTACCCGAATTATTTAGGATTTATGTTGTTTTAGTTATCCTATTTTATCAACAGTATGTTGCTCTTATTGTCATTTTCTACTCTAAAATGGTTTCTTCTTTATTTGATTTTACTGAAGGTTTTCGTTCTACTCTTTTACTCCTGCCTCTGTTGTTGGTTCATCAATTTAACTCATTTTTATGTTTATGAAGTTTTTCAAATTTTATTTACTTCCTTTTTTACCACTGCAATATTTTTTTTCTATTGTTTTTGTTTTATTCTCAAATATTTCAGTTAGTTTTCTAGGATTGATTTGTTTCGTTCTCAAATATTTGAGTGACTTTTTTGGGATTAGTTTAAGTGACGGTTATAAATACCCTATTATGTTTTTTATATTTGTCTGTACTATTTATGTTGTCTAATCTTTTTTTCTGTCTTTAGTACAAATCCTCTAATAATTTTGTTGGTATATGTTGTTAGCAGTAAAACATAGATACTTAAGCTATTTTTTCCTTTTACTATTCTATTTTTGTTTTGTTCTTTTCTTCTTCATTTATTTTTTCCTTATTATTTTTCATAAATCTTTTTAATAATTTAGTTGGTACTGAAGGGCATTGCTAAATCCTATTTTAGTTATTTCTAATATGTGATGTTAGTAATTAAGGGTAAATACTTGAACCAAATTCTTTATATCTATCTATTTAATTTCCCTATCTATTTCCTCTTTAGTATTATTCATGTAATATGCTATTTTATATGAGATTTCTGAGATTTTATCTTTCTTCTTTTTCTTGATGCTCATGGATTTATGAATTGAGAGAAATATTGAGAGAGATCAAGAATTCTCACTATTTCTTTGATTCATGGACTCAATTGAATTCAGTGGTAAATATTGCAGTTACTCTTCAGGGAAAAATTGTAATTAAAAATTTCCTCATATATGTTGTTACCAATAAAAAATATAAAACCTGAACCATTTTTTTCCTTTACTACCTTTTTCTAACTTTTTTTTTTATGCACAGGACATTTTTATATGACATTTACAGTTTCATTGTAAATAATATGTAAACAATGTATGTTACTTCCATAGAATATCCAACATTTAGAAATGGAACAATGTTATTACAATGTATCACTATCAA